AAGACAAGGCTCCTATGTTTCATCAAGGAGTATCAGATATGAAACAGCAGGAAGGTATTTAAGAAGCCAACTCAAAGAGTTCCTCCTACACAGGCATTCAGGTCTTGAGCAGTCCAGGCAAACAACACACGTTACAACAAAGCTTAAACTTGTTCTTCATAGTAATTTAAAAAACAATACTAGCTGCCTATTTAATTTTAAAAACAGCAACAAATATCCATCTCCCTTTCCATTTCTTATAAGGAGTCTTGAAGTTTAAATCTCCTCAGTGTGATAGATATGCTTGCTTTGATCTGCTTAGCTCTTGGAAGTCCAGGGGCTCCGGGCTGCTGGCCCCATGCTGTCTGGGGTCCCTAGGGACAGCTCTGTCCGCCATTAGGGAATTTTTTCCCGAGAACCCCCTGTAACATTTCGTGAACCCCCAGGGGTTCACGAACCCCAGTTTGGGAACCACTGCAGTAGACGAATGTTTTTGGGTAAGAAACTGTTTAGGCTCCCAGCCTCCTTCTCTCTTCCTAGGGGCAAAATGGGATCCTCCCTTCCCACCAGTTTTAAACCCCTCTTTCTGTGGCCTGCCCTCAATAGACACCTGATTCTGTTCGAAGGCATCAGCTAAAAGAGCCACCTCGTCCCCAGACGTTACATCCTTGTCCCACAGACACGGCTTCACATCAGCCTGACACACGCCTAGGAAATGCTCTTGAGCAACAAGGTCCAACATTCCCTCAAAACTCGCCACCTCCTTATCCCTCCCCCATTCCCCAACAAATCCTTCATTTCGTTCACATAGTCCCCATTACTCACACCAATAGCCCTCTTGAGATTCCTAAATGTAATTCTGTATGTTTCAAGGGTAATCTGAAAACTTCGCAAAACAGTATCTTTAAATTTACAATCGTCTAAATTACAAGAGGCATTCCACTGAATACATTTTGAGCTTTACCAGTTCATTTTGCTATCAGCGTACGAACTCTCTTATCATCAGAGATTTCGAGTATTACACACAGCCTTTCGAAGGTAGTCAGATATTCAGCAATATCGTCCTCTTCACTGTGTGCAGGACATAAGTGTTCCCCTTTGTGGATTTTTGGAGTGATGGGAGTCGTTGGGGTCGGGGGGTTCTGGTTCTGCTTCTCTAGCGGGTCCAGTTAGTGTTTTCACTTGCTTTCTTTTTCTTCTCTCTCCCCCTTTTTCTTCCACAGCCTTTCTGTGGGCCGCCTCCTCTCTGGCTGACTCCTTTTCTTTGTCTTTTCTCTCCAGTTGTTTCAGTTGCGATAATCTCTGGTGCTCCCGCTCTTTTCTGCAATCTGCAGCCTAAAAAGCTCCAACTTCGCAATTGTTTCGCTGCTTTCACTGTTCCTACTTCCCTTGTCCGAAATGAGCAAATAGAAAATAACAGAACTGTGACGTCCTCCTGACTGCGCTAGCCACTGTGCTTAAAATTCACTTAAAGTCACAAATATCAGTGCGTAAAGTGTGAACTCCACTTGGAGTAACAAGCCACACATACACTTGCTCGCTGCGCCGCTGTGACGTTCCCCTCTGGGGTGATCCTCTAGGTCCTTGAATCTGGGAGCCAGCCTCACCCTGCTCTGCCTCTGGCATGTCAGCTGCTCCTTGGATTGTGCAACCGAATGACACTAGCCAATATCTCCGGTCCCAGACACAGCCCTGGGAACCTCCGTCTGGCAGTGCCCAGTCGTGCCCGCTAGACGCTGCCAGCTTATCAATTTCTTTGCTACATTGACAAACTCATATATGTACCAGACTTGTTCTCCCAAGGGGAGTCTCTGACACACTGCAAACCAAACGCACTGCTTCAGGTAGAACAAACAGATTTATTAACTACAAAGATTGATTTGAAGTGATTATAAGTCAAAGCCTAATAAGTCGGATTTGGTCAAATGAAATAAAAGCAAAACCCATTCTAAGCTGATCTTAACACTTTCAATGTCCTTACAAACTTAAAAACAACGAGGAGTCCGGTGGCACCTTAAACACTAACAGATTGATTTTGGCAGAAGCTTTTGTGGGTAAAAAACCCACTTCTTCAGATGCATCTGATCAGATTCTTCGGATGCAACCCACATCGGAGGAAGTGGGTTTTTTATACACGAAAGCTTATGCCCAAATAAATCTGTTAGTCTTTAAGGTGCCACCGGGCTCCTCGTTCTTTTTGTGGCTACAGACTAACACGGCTACCCCCTGATAGTTACATACTTAGCTGTTTCTCACCACAGGCTGGCTGGTTGCTCTTCAGCCAGGCTCTCCCCTTTGATCAGCGCTTCAGTCGCTTGGTGGCGGTGGCGTCTGTAGATGGAGGTGGAAGAGCGAGAGAGTGCCTGGCAAACGTCTCTCCCTTTTATCGTGTCCTTTCCTCCCCCTTGGCTTTGCCCCCTCCCCTTCAGAGTCAGGGGAGCATTACTGAGTCTCTCCCAGCAAGGTTGAGCAATTCCCCTGGTGTGGCCCCATGCAGGTGAGTCATTGCATTGTAGCTCCTTGCTGGACAATGGCTGCTGATGGGTTGTTTGACACCTCGCCCGGGCATTGGTTATTTTCCGTGCTGTTGCATCTGGGGAGCTACCCTGTTTCCCCGAAAATAAGACAGTGTCTTATATTAATTTTTGCTCCCAAAG